ATTCGTATTTCCTACGAATCCGAATTGGGTTTCGGACACGAAATAACGGATATTCCCAAACAAATTTTTTGACGGCGCACAAGTCTAATGAAAACCAGACTTTTTTAAAATGTTAATGATTGGAAGCCGCTGCGCGTCTCCTGAATGACAGAATAACAGGGGATTATCCCGCAATATGAAATACATCTCCGGAACAATTGCGGATTATGACTGTAAAAACGAGAGAGATAACTCTCAGGGCCCGATAGAGCCGCGCTCAGGAGATACGGCGTCTCGAGGACGATCGGAGTGTGCCGCCGCGAGCGTTTTGATGTTCGCTGTCATTATCTCCCACATAATGTTCATTTTCAGAGACCTCGAAAAAAAAACGGCTTTAAAGACTAAGTGGCACTTCAGTGCGAGGTGTCAGGGAGCCCGCTATCGCGGGCGCACTTACGCAGGCAGCACCTCCCGCCATCGTCTCACCGTTACCGTCGGCTCAGTGGAGTTCAATTGAGTTGGCCCCTGCGACTGTAGAGCGGGTGACTTGATTACTCTGAAATCAGGCAGAAAATGTCCTTTTTCTGGCCACTCGAGTGAATCAGTCAAATTATTGAGCGGCAAAATGAACTGAGCGCCGGGGGCGAGCGGAGCTGCCACTCTCTATAAGTCAAACCTTCACTTACTGCCGCCTTTTTTTTTTTTTAATGGCATTATTTCCCATTTATTCTGCTTATGGAGACTTCTCTATAGAGGGAGATAGTGGCTGCACATTTCATGTTCTAGATCAGAAACCTAGAAGGGTGAAGGCAAATCATATTTAAATTCCCTTTCTCTTGACTTACTCCCTATCTATGCTGGATGTCTGTTCCAACCATCAAACCATCAACTACTCCTTCCTCCTGCTGGGGATCCCTCCAGTGATAATAAAGATCTATATAGAGGGATCAGGACCTCCTTCCTCCTGCTGGGGACCCCTCTAGTGATAATAAAGATCTATATAGAGGGATCAGGACCTCCTTCCTCCTGCTGGGGGTCCCTCTAGTTATAGAGATCTATATAGAGGGATCAGGACCTCCTTCCCCCTGCTGGGGACCCCTCTAGTGATAGAGATCTATATAGAGGGATCAGGACCTCCTTCCCCCTGCTGGGGACCCCTCTAGTGATAGAGATCTATATAGAGGGATCAGGACCTCCTTCCTCCTGCTGGGGATCCCTCTAGTGATAATAAAGATCTATATAGAGGAATCAGGACCTCCTTCCTCCTGCTGGGGACCCCTCTAGTGATAATAAAGATCTATATAGAGGGATCAGGACCTCCTTCCTCCTGCTGGGGACCCCTCTAGTGATAATAAAGATCTATATAGAGGAATCGGGACCTCCTTCATCCTTTTAGTGGTCCCTCTAGTGATTAACTAAAAACCTATAAGGAGCAATCAGGAGTTCCTCTCTTCTCCAGCGAGGCCTCATGGCAGGTTTCCTGATGGTGACAACACTGGACCATGTCCGTGTAAATTCTGATGAAATGACAACTTGTAGTCTCCATTGGCAGCCCATGTGACAGCACAGGAGAACAATTGGGAAACAGGGACAGCACATTGTCACCTTCTTCAGGAGGTTCCAGAATGAGGAACTGTATGGCCAGGGTTATTCTAATCATTTAATAATATTAAAAACTACTTTTTGAAATGATATTAAGTTAACCCCTTCACAGAGGTGTCCCCAGGCAGGGTGACACCCGGTGCGGGTACCGGGCGACACCCCGCAGTGACATCATTGCGCATGCGCGTGATGACGTCACACGCGGTACCGCCGTCACCCGGCGGGATAAGGTATGCCACCGGGTCCCCTCCTCTCTCTCTCGTGCAATTGTCGGGCTCTCGGTCCTTGACAGAGTGCCAGACTTTTCAGAGGGGGGTGACCAAAATGACTGACAGTCATTTTGGTGTCACCCCCTCCAACAGCGTCACCTGGGTGCGGGCCTTGTGACGCCACTGCCCCTTCACACCGACCCTTTAAGAGTATGTTAAGGCCGAAGGTGTTTCCTGGGCCCTACTGATCATCTGATCACTGTTGGGCTGTCACATCGTGTGCTGGTTCTACAGTTTTTGGCGCAATTGTTATTGGGAGGTGATGGCACGGTCACGGTGCTGGGGGGTGCGTGACTTAAAATGCTTCCAGCACCATACAGGTACGCATCTATGTGGCAGCATGGCATGAAGCTCTCCTCTGTGCTGCCACATAAAAGCGTATAGCCAGCAGGAAGGGGTTAAAGAATTCTACATAAACCCATTAACTAAAGTCATTTTAAATATTTTAAAGCTTCCAAATACTAGTCCATGACAACACCGCCCCCACC